GGTAAAAAATTACAAAAAAAAAATGCTTCCAAAGAGGTCTATACTCCTGCTCAGAATTTCATAGAATTTCACCAATCACATTTTGTATTATAACGTTCATTGATTATTTACACTTTGTTCAAAAAATACGATTTTGAAAATTTTAACTAACACGGCAAATAAAAATTACTAAACACTCATAATATTTATTCTTTTTTATAAGGTACCGCACAAAGAAGATTTATCGTTTTACTATTTAATTGACGATGTGTTTAAACATCTAAGACATAAACAAAGAAAAACGGTATATAAGAAAATACCTTAAGATCTAACTCGTTATACCTTTGCATGTTCGGTGTCGTTTCATGTCAGAGCTTTCAGTAGTCCTAAACGTTTTTACTCAACTATCGCTATCACATATCAATAGACTAATGTTAATAATCCAAAAAAGTGAAGTTATTGAATAATAGTGCGTTACGAGGAAGAATTTTAGTAAATCTAGCACAAAAAGTAACTTACAGCATGAGCTTTGTATTAAAAATAAAGAGGTAGAGAAACCATCAACCAGAAAGAAAAATCAGGCATACAATAATAACAGTATATATTGAGTACCACCATTTTATTTAATATAATATATTAGTTTGCATAACTTGACATACATTTTCCAGTAAACTCAAGTGCCTTCATAAAAGTATGCGTCGTGTTATTCTTTTTATAGTACTTGAAAACTCTTGTTTTAATATATGAAAATGGTGTTTAATTTTGTAGTTTATTGTGAGTATGTTAAAACTTATAACCTCAATATATTTTATAAAATATTTCACAACAATATTTTGAAACTTTTTAATCTAATAATAATAATGGTCGAACCAACTATTTCATAAATCTCACTGCATTATTTGACCTATACATGAGTTAAATCTTAATTTTATATATTTTTTGTTTCTTTTATAACCATCGTCTTCCATAGCTAAATACAGTAGAAATTATAAATGATGACATCATAGTTATTTCATTAAGTAATGCTGACGTAGAACAAAATCGACAAGCTGTCTTGGGTGTGAAATACTTCTGGCCAATTATTCTGATAACATCACAGTTCGAACACGACATTAGAAAATGTCGTAAATGATCTATTCAGAGCTTGAAGTGATAATTTCCTCCAATCATTATGTTATAAGATTACAGTGGAACTCTTAAATTATAAACTTAATGAAAGACTACTTACTGAAAAACTTTAATAAATTAGTGATTATATGATTCTTTTTGCTTCTGGATTGAAAATTACTTAATAGTCGACAGAAAATAGTTGCATTTAAAGACAGTAAATAATATTTTAAGATCAAGTCCAAATAGGGTTTGTAAAAGCCGTGTACAGAGGTTCATGTAATACGAGTATAACTTTTATACTCAAATTACAAATAGATCTTTTTGTACAAATCATTAGTGAAATTAAGCAATATCTCAATAGTATATGTAACTGGTGAACCTATCGTTGTGTGTTATATAATCCTACAAACATAAATATAGTATGTTATTTGGAAGTCAAATAGACGAGTATGTTTTTTTAAATCGAAGACTATTTTTATTATTGTACAAAGATATTTAATGAAGCTTTATAATATAAGTTTGACAATAAGACCGGTTATTTAACCACTACCCCCAATTATATCTTGATTTGCTTGCCTATTGAGTGCAGCAGGCAATCCTAAAATCAACCAATGTGGTCACAGGCAGGTGATTTTATGTTTTTGGTAACCGAACCTTAGATATTAGACAATTGCGAGCCATATGCTTTACAGAAATTAATATTATTTTATTACACTACACGTCTTTCTTCACGAGCGATGATCATAGAAAAACAGCGTTAAGACAAAAGATAATTATCGAAACCCAACGTTGAGAGAGATTGGTTGAAGAGGAGAAATTTTCAACGAAAAATCTTGTTTTTTTTCTAGCAGAAGTATGAGGGTTTAGTTTAAAAATCACACAAACCGTCAGGTCAAACGATCAATAGCGTTATGTTTTGTTGATAACTCATACGAATATTTTTGAAGGTTTTGTTGAAATATTCCGGTTTAGATTACCAAAAACGGGTTCTTCTAATACAAGATAATGTCAAACCATATAATTCCATCGAAATCCGTTAAAGAACTTGGCTATATCGTACTCCTAAAACAACAAGAAATTAATCCGGACCTTGTAAACTCAGATTACTTTTTATTCAGCTCAATGACTAAATTGTTTTAAGGAAATAAATAAATCCAAAAGAGATACTAAAAATTTATTGTGCTAACCTTTTATATCCAAGTTAACAAAATGGTTTTACCAATCGACTCAAAGAGCTCAGTGAACGTTGAGTTAAAACCACAGAATACGATTGGCTATATTTCATGCATACAGGCTTTCTTACCGCATGGTTATTCGATAAACAAAGAGAACATTGGAAACCAATATTATTTATGAGACACCTTATATATAACAGTACATCCTACATATTATAGACACCCTATATATGTATATATACATATAGTAATGAAACAATTACTAATATTTTATATCTCCACAGACCTCAACCATAAAGTCTTTTAATTTGCATGCATTCATAAATATTTATTTATTTTAATAACTTAAATTATTATTTCATTATTTGTTAGTTCCTTCGATTAATTATATCAATATTTATCTTCCAATAACATTTCTCAGTTATTATCTTGTTACACAAACTTAATAATCTACCTCATTACTGCTTACTATTTCAAAAGAGTTATATATGATATAATATTTTCAATTGTATAGAATTGTCATTGGATTAGATAATATTTTTGTGACAGTATTTATTTTTATTTTAATAGTATGGTAACAATACACCTTTGTGTTTGTCCTATATTATAATATGTTTCCCTTTACATCAGCGGCGAAGCCAGTTTTAAACATCATCTGTTATACTCTTAGCATGTTGAAGAATTTTTTACTTATTTTTGGCACCACAATAATATTGTTTTTATATACGTGTTACAAAATAATTCAAAATATACCTTAATAAAAAGTAAATAAACAGATTTCTTAAGAAATAAGGAAGTTATTACGATATTATATCCTATGATGCCTGATAGATGCCATATTATCAATGTTGCAGTAACTTCGAGTATACTAAAAGTATAATGATAATGACATAAAAACCGTATTATGCATCTGATATATTGAAATTTACTAATGTAATACCCCTAAACTGATTTCAAAATAACGTATAATTAATTGAATTTTCAAATTATATTTCTATATATGTATATTTAATTTACTAATCTATTTTAAAATTTTTAGAAGATCTTGTACTAAAGTAATGTTTTTTGAGTTGCAATTTTAAAGCTACCCTTTTAACTGTACTTGACTATTGTCGAAGGTAAATTTATACTCAATACGAAAGAAATAATGCAAGAAACTACACTGAAATAAATTATAAAATATTATTTAAGTTGACACAAAAAAAACTTAAAATTTCTAGACATCTTAACTTTGGGGACGGTTTTAAGAAATCTAATTAAGAAGTACAAACAAAATAAACATCGCTGTCTCATATAAAAACTTTAATAGGATAATAAAGTTTATAACTTGGGAAATACGAAACTATTTTTCATTAGAGTTACTTTTTATTTATTAAAGCATAACTTTATTGCTATTCAGCATAATTTTTTTTGCTATATAAATATAAAGTTTGGTGAGTCATATCAAAACTGTAATCTCATAGAATATTTCAACTGACCAACCCTTTCGTTTAATATTGGATGTTCTTTCAAACCTATTCTCGTCGCGTTTCTTTCATTATGGAGAAAATTAGATTATGTAGGTATTTTCATCTTTTAAATACTATGATAAATTTATTTATGCTCAAATAGAAGTCATATAAAGATAGACATTACTTTTTTTTTCTTTTTATTTTAGATTTTTTTTTATTCCAAGTACAATTAAATGTTATTTGGCTTATTAAGCCTCATGAGATAGATACATTAAGTTTGTTCAACCTCCGAGTATTTTAAAACAAATTAATCCCTGGACTACACTATAGGTTAATAAGATAAATCTTGAATGAAGTTCTAGTGAGTTTAGTTCTAAAATATACTGAATTATTTTATAACGTACAGAACAATAATTATGTAATGATATAAATTTTGTTATATATGCATGTGTATCAGCTTTATTCACTTTTACGGCGTCACAAGAGAAAGAATTCGGTTTGCTATTGCACCTTTTCTTGAAGTTTGGTCGAATGTCTCAGGGGTGGGCGATTTTCATAATGATGTCGCCTTTGTTAGACTTCAGCGAGTGACGGTCAAACGCCTTATCGTTGTGTAGTTAAGGGTTTTAAAATCAGAATGTAAGAGAACTTCTTAAGAGAGTTTCTTGCAAAACCCTCCTCGGCTTTTAAGTAGACTCGCTTTCCGACTTAGTTATTTGAGATATCAGAAAATGTCTTTCTGTTTCTTGGAGTTTGTAGTTATCATGAGTTATTCAGACTACTGTAGAGTAGGATTTAGACATATGTTGAAAATAGAGAGGTATGTAGGGTAAGGTTGCTCAAGTCGTACCCCCTAAGGAAATTATGCTATAATATTCACGACAATTGAAATAATACAAAATAATCTACATTTACTGAATCTTTATTTAGTTGTCTATTATTAAAAAATCACAGAAACTTACAGTGTTAATATTAAAATATATATTTTAACGTTTCTCAAAAACATACCTTCGGTACGATTAAGGCGCCTAGTTGCCTAATTCGTACCACATACAGCCTAAGTCGTACTTAGAAAATACACTTTAGTGAAGATATAATAAACTATATAGAAAAATACTTAATAATAAGAGATCAATTTAACTAAGTCAAAATTACAAACAATTCAGTCTGAGATTAACTTAAGCATATTATTTGGTAATTATTTTAGTGAATAACAAAATCTTAGACCTAAATAGAAATAACTAACACGGAGAACTAGAAAGATATAAAAATAATGTTTAGAAAATTATTGAGATTGAACACAGATATCACAAGTATATTTTTTTATTTTACTTTCAACACCAGCGCATAGGTCATGTATCCAACCTTTACATTTAGAACACTGGATCATATCTTCTTCGCGATCTTCCTTACAAAGTTGGCACAGCCACGATTTTTTAGTTTTCATTTTTTTGTTCTTCCTGTATGTCTCATCTGAACTTCTTCTCTGTATGTTTTTGTTTATTTTTTTTTCTGTTTTCAATTTTTTCATATCTAGTATAGGTTTCTTCTTCTTATTCATGTTTTCTTTGGCTTCCATTTCATTTTTATAAGGACTTGAAGTTAATTCCATCGTTCGCTTTGTACCTTTCTTCATTTTTTTAATAACAGTATTTATGCAAGGCACTGGAGATAAAACATTCAAGTGAGACTTTATTTCTTCATTATTGGAAATTTTATCAATCTTGGACGGCTCAGGTTGAACGGTGGGCAGCGTTGAATCTTTCGGTATTAAGGGAGGTGTTATAATTTTTGGGGGTGATGGTAATGAGGTGGATGGTGGTGGAGATACGACCAATACTGATGGCGACGCAACTATTGGTTGGGTTATTATTGATGGCGATGTAGCTCTAGCGGATGATTCCGTAGTTGGTTCAGGTGAACCATTAGGTTCTTGATTTGATGGATCAGAGATGTATACAGAAGCTACGAAATCCTCTGCTTTAATGACATTTCTGTCACACGGCCACAACCCTGTAGCTTTGAAACCATTTTGTGCTATATCCATACGAACTGATCGAGGGTATGCTGTGCCAAGCAGTTCTGCAACATTAGCTTGTTTTATGACACTACCAGGATTAGAACGTAGCCACGAAGATGCGACCTCGTTGTAACAGCTTTTCAATGATTTGAAAAACGATCTGTCCAGCGGTTGTAGACGATGAGTTGTGTGAGCAGGAAAAGATAACATAACAATGCCGTAATCCCGAGCCATCTCGATCGCTTCTAAATTTTTCGTATGTGTGCTATGACCATCTAGTAAAAGTAACATTTGTTTTTGGTTACTTTTTGCTAATCTCGTGCACTTAATGAAATGTCGTAGCCATTGAACAAAAAGTTCTGATGTTATCCATCCATTTTTTGAGCATTCAAATGCTGTATTTGGTGGAGCTCCTTTTTTTAAGGCATCATTCAGTCTACTACGCTTAAATATTAACATAGGTGGTATAAATTCGCCTGCTGCATTCATTGCACATATGCATGTTGTGGTCAGACCCCTTTCTCCACTTGTGATTGCACCCACTTGGTGTTTTCCCTTTTGAGCAATAACTTTAGAAGGTTTGTGAACAGTGGATAATCCAGTTTCGTCCATATTATATATTTGGTGTGCAGCAAACTTATATTTATCCAGTATTTCTTCGTACTTATCAAAAAACTCATTAACACGTTCTTTGTTGAACCCTCTGCTTCGGGCCATCGATGTTGATTCTGGAACACGCAAAGACAAATTAGGATGCTCTTTCATAAACCTATAATACCACTTTTTGCCCGCTATTTTTTTGTCTTTGTTAAAACGATGAGGCAGTTGAAATTTTTCAGCGAGCTCAAATGCAAGCTTTCTGAATTCAGTGGTAGTTAATCCGAAGAAACAAGACTCTAAATTCATCAAATGCTGTGCCAGTATCTCTTCCATATCTGGTGGCATATCGTTAGGTCTTCCAAACTTTGTTCTTGTATTCAAATTTTTTTAAATGTCGTCTCAGTGTAGGTTTCGGTATATTAAATCTTCTGCAGGCTTCATTAAATCCTATTTCTCCACTCCGATGTTTCTGTAAAGCTTCATCCATATCTTCTTGCTTCCAAGTATTATACTTTCTCTTCTCCATATTTATTACCTGGTGAAGAGTTATGTAAATTATTAGACACATTATTTGCAATACCTAAGTCGTACCGGTACGAGTAAAGAATTTTTAACAGGTACGACTTAAGCAGCGGGACCTTTGAGGTTGAAAAATAAAATTACTAACATAACCTAAAAATGTTCTCCTGTTTGAGTATGCCCAAACGATTGACAGATAAGCATTAAAAATCGGTGTAAACAAAGACAAGATATAAAGATAACATTCCTGCCGTAAAAAGCTTATAAATGAGTCGTTAATTTTACATGAAAAGTGATAAAAAACTTACTTTTTGAATTATTTTCGTTGCACGAAGCCGACTGCCTGACCACTTGTTTACGCTTGCCCGCGCGACTAAATAGTTCACGTTAAAAACACTAGATGGCCCAAATCAATGGTATCAGACGAGATACTGGTGGGGTACGACTAACGCCGTGGTACGACTTGAGCAACCTTACCCTACGTCCGTAATTCTTTGCGTATAATATTTTACAAGACAGTCAATCCTACCTTATTAAACTCATAAAAGGTCGTCGAAAAATTAAATACTTTTTATATAGATACTTTAAACAGATTAATAAGATAAATATTTTTTATCTGTTCCCATTGGTCAATAATTAGAGAAAATTTTATCACTATTAATTTTAATTTTACTTTTTCTTATAATCTCTCAGAAACCTTTCAGTATTGGAAGGCCTATCAATACTCCTTATCCTACAAAATGTCATATATGTATGTATGTAGCATACTTGTTAATTGTGTTACTAGTTGCTTTAGTATCTCAGGACGGTTTTTCCTTTGAGTTCTAATATTTAAATTTATTATAACAACATATATTCATTAACAGGAGTTTAAATTAATTCCTCAGTTGAAGGGTATAACTGGAAGTAGTGACTTATTTATTATGTATAAGACCCACTATGGGATTAGGAAGAAACGAAGTTTGGGAAATACTTGACTTGCTTAATGAAAGTGTTACGGCTGGAAACCCTCTAGAAAAAACTAAACGATAAAATCTTTTTTAATACATTAGAAGCATACTACAGTCAATAACACATTTTAAATTACAAACGAACTTTTTTTGTTACATTTCTAAGAAATAAAAAAATATACATCAAGTTATCGAGAAAATTAGTTATGTCAAATTTATACAAAAATTATGGTGATTTAAATTATTTTAATGTAATTCATAAACCATTAACACAGAATTCAAAGTTAGGTTGAGCTTTTGAACTACATCTGTCAGAAAAAAGGATTTTCCATGTAATAAGAAAAAAATAAGTAATAAGCATTCATATAGTTATTACGAGTAGATTATGTGCTTGTTTTTTAAGTATTAAATCCAACGACAGATAGACAGTAGCTAATGATACAGTATTAAAAACATGACACTAAAGCAATAAGTTTTTTCTTAGTTAATTAGCTATGAAAAAGTCAGGTTTATATATTTTTTTGTTAATATTTCTTAAGTTGAAAATTTATTATTCTTTTAGGAATTCGTATTGTATTTCATAACGTTACACATTTTATTAGTTTTATCTTACAAAACAGTTGTTATGTCAAATTAAAGAATCACGTCAAACACTATTCTATGCTTATACATACACTAGCTTTCCGTCCGCGGCTTAGTAAATTTTAAAATATTCTATTACTCTACTGATTACAAAATCACGTTACATAAATTTATAAAATATAAAAATACAGCAAAAGCAATGAATTGAAGTTTTAAAAAATACTATTTAATTTAATGCAGTAATCTGACGTAACCATCCAACTAAAATGGTCCAATAATGTATATATATCATTCATTAATAATAATGGTATTGTATCGATTATAAGGAATCACTCGAATTGATAGATAACTCAAACATTATATAAAATTAATTACCTTATTTCTGAACAAGCCACAGCCCGGCGATCTGCCACTTGGCCCGTTTTACAGATATTTGCATACGATAAGTTATAAGTTTATTGTTATTATAGGTTCATGTTATGTGATACAGTTGGTTATTTCTTTTCCAAAATAAAATAATTATGGAACACAAAGAAAAACAAGCAAATTTAACAAAAATGACTTGTTAAATTTTTTACTTTTGCTTTTATATGTACATATATATACTTTACTGTAAAATAGTTGAAACGTCAACTGAAATAATAAAATAAATATGGGAGTAAATTCTTAAAAAAGGCTACTTTTTATGTCAATATATTTACACTAAAATCTTAGATATCATGGTCGCTATATCAGTGATGTTCAAAGATTTAAGATATTCAAATTAGTTAAAAAAATACGCTCATAACTCAGAAACTAACTATGCTTATAACTTATAATCATCTTATTAAATATCAATCGTCTATTTTTAGTACATTAGTAATAACGCTGAGTGCACGCTTCACACTCACACTAGTATAACTCCAGATAAAATAATTGCTTCTCCATATATTAAGTAATTATATTGTTGAAGTTAAGATTTACCTAAGTGGCCTAGAAGAAGTTTGAATAAAATATTAAGGAACGATTTAAATTAAGAAATTAATATTAAGTCCTTGATTTCATTAGAAGATAAGTTATAATAACTATAAACCAAAAAATATTTTAAAAATAAAAGAAAATTGTGTATAAATATTTTTATGGGACACTTAATGAAATGGACTTAACCCAATTATGACATTTTGTCAGTAATGTTTATTGTCTTAACAAATTAAACTCTCGATAATTAATTTATTTAACTACTTTTTTATTGACGCCAAAATCAGCGGATGGTTAAGTATCGTATATGAAATGAATAAATGTCTCCATAAACTTAGAATTTAATAGCTCGTTAAAAATTATTTTAAGACGTCTACAATCTCCAAATTTCATATATAAATTAGCTTTTATGTTTTACGTTCTTAGTGTGAGGCTGGCGTTAACTTAAATAATTTATATTTGTATTTAACAGAAAAATAATTGAGTACTTAATAAATTTTACTGCTTTAGCTCTTCAAAGCTTAATAAAATTAGTGTATTGTAATACAAGATAAAGTATAGTTTTTCATTCAAAACTTCTTCATAAATTCTCGACCAATTCCTTATTTGGAATCAAAGACACCATAACACTTTAAGTGATAAGGTGTCTTTTAAAAAAACATACGTCAATATGTTATAAATAATATTGTACCAAATAACACCTGATAAGGATATTAATAGTCGCTTTCATTAGAAGTTAAATTATTAAACATAGACATCATCATTCTCAGCCTATCAGAGCCCACTGCTGAGCAAAGTTCTCTTTCTCACATGGAGAATGTATGAGCAATATGAGCATTAATCACCACCCTTGATTAAAACGGGTTAGTGATTACAAACTTATAATTGTGAAACGATAAGTCCAGGTTTCCTCACGATTTTTTCCTTCACCGTATGTCGGTGGTGTCTAAATACTCTCAGAAAGTACATATGACTCCGAAAAATCATATTGGTACTTGCCAGGTTTGAACCCGCGCCCGGCAATGAGAGGCGGGCCCTTTAACCACTAGGCCACCACTTACTTACAAGGCCACTACTTGCTTATTAAACATATACATAGAAATACAATTTTGTTACCTTATATTGTCGGTTTTATATCTTAAGCAGCTAATTTTGCCCTTTTTGCTAGTTCTCATCGAAATATTTAGAGTACTCACTTTTGTTCAGAAAATTATAATTTAAAATTCTATGAGTTTATACAATTTGATTTTTTCATCTCCAAACGGTATGAAGGTCGTAAGTAAAGTAAGTTTTTGATCATATTATTTGACTTGAATAAGTGATACAAAGATGTGAAATATCTTCAAGAACATCTGTAGTATATCACTTTAAATACCAATTGTTGCTAACTCCTGTGGATTTGTTATAAAAAGGATTTGTAATCTTGTCAAGAGTGCAGCTGCATTCCCAAAATAAGTTCCATAGCCTACAACAAAAACATCTTTTAGTAATAAAGTAATTGAAAGTGTGAAAAAGTGACTTAAACCTTAAAGCAGG